ACCATATACATATTATCTAGTCCAAGGTTAATATAATATGTAGGCGGCCCCACATCCGGTGCGGGCCCCACGTGAATTTTACTATTCACGTAATAGAAATGATAAAAATTTACAATCACGTAAAAATGCTTTTATACATTTCTCAAGGTTCAATACATAATTTGGTACAGTACAAATACTCGGGGGCGGTGTTACATATTCAATATCGAACAATAATTATTATTCAATATTGAACAATAATTATTATTAGTATATTTAAGCAGTTCAACATGTCACATATTAAAAAATGTATTGAACAATATTCAGTATCTATTGACCCCTGTTTATACTATAATCACATCATGAACAATATCATCAACTACTATAGCACAATTTTTCACATGTTCACTTGATCCATCTAAAACAATAACACAAGCTATTTTTCAATTTTTCCATAAAAGTTAAAAAAGTTCAAGTAACAACTTAGTACATAATAAAAAGCTAAAATAAAACATCCTTGCACAAGTCTAGAGTAATAACACATTGTATAAAGTTACAAGTCTCATCATCACTCGAAAACTTAAACAAACACGTTCATCATGTGTCGTTGATGGATTGTGTCATTTCTAAGAAATATGATGCCCAACGAGTTCGTACTTCATCAATCTCTCCTGATGAGAATGGTTCTGGATTGGCGAATTGCTACAAATTAAATAAGAAGGTTATTAAAAAACATTACATGGATCAAACCTATTGAATGTAAATAAAATAATAATGTAACTCATCCCACATTTCAAGAATTACCGCCGAAATAATATTCAAAATATGCAACATCACATAATAACCACATTCATAACTTCTAACTTGCATTCGAGACTACAAGTTAGAACAACATAATTACTAATCAAGAATTATGATATTCGACTTGGTGCTACACAAATGAAAGTAAAAATAACATACAAAGTAAAGTAGTAAGTATTTACCATAGGAATAATCCATTTCACTTTTCTCTTTCTTGATTTTCGCTACATCTTACGTTTTCCATTGAAAGCCGAGTTCACCTTACAAGAAAGGAAATGGGGATAATTGATTAACTTTAATCTACTTTTCTAATGTTGGCATTCAAGCCATTATTAAAAATATTGCATATAACTGAAAATTCGAGCAGTAAAACAAACCATTGAGAAGAAACTCTTAGAAGACACTGGAGGATAATTCACAGTTTACTTTAGCTTGAAGGAAATAACTGCCGCATCAACCTGTAGAAGTTGAGAGACATTAAGTGGCCGAGTTATGGCCAAATAGAACATTATATATCATTAAGCTCTTTAGCTTTGATGATACACACTACATTTATTCTGTGATCCAGCTGTATAAAGGTTCTAAAAGGGTGCGAAAATAAGCGACTTACTTTAGGTTGGGGGAAAAGGATGTCCTTAGGAGCTTGAATTTGTATTCGGGATCTGTATAAAATATATTAACTTGCAAACTCAAGGAAATAAAAAAAGAGTAAGAATCAAGACGGAAAAGGTCTCTTTCATTCAATGATTTGCATGTTGGTTTTAACAATATTGATTTGTAATAGAACATGATTATATAAAATATCTCAATTCATCATTCATTCCCATCATTTTCTCCACACATGAAAGTTATAAGTATAATAGTTATTCTTCGTAAAGATATTGCGTCATAACAGGCATTCCAATTTTAAACTTTACTACCATGTCTTTTGCATAAATCTATACGGAACTATATTGAGATCAATAACTGAAAGTGTAAATTTTATGCCACCGAACCCAACTATTTGGGAGTGGAGCGGTTTTGCTCGTGATGATGAAACCTGAAAAAGACTGAAAAGGATATGAATTCAACAACCATAAAAGCAATTAGACAAGACATCAACTTAATCTGACAACCCCGAGTAAAACACTAACCATATGCATTCACCTCTAGCACTATGGTCTATATATGACAGAATAAAAATGTTGTGTGCTAAACAAGCTTTTATTACACAAATAATATTCCATCACTTCACCCATTACTTCTCTGAAAATTACCTGAATAAAAGTTGATGAAAATGTTAATACGCCGATACTCGGACGAGCTTAAGGATGCATTTACCATGTGCAAGGGTGTTTCCTCATGATAAAGTCCAACCAAAGGTCACCCATCAACGATCATGTCAAGATTTGAATTAATTCATTCGTTATAGCACATTCAGCTTTTCAGGTACTCATATTTAGATAATTGCTTATACTAGACTACTGAGATAACAACGATTACATTTAGAGTTCCTAAACTTCTACATATGAAGTTCTAACAAGCTGAAATGCTCACTCAAACACAAAAATATAGAATTAGGAAGCTGCCAGCAAACAGTTTTACAGTTTAATCCAAAACGGTAAGGCCATTTTTATGCTGAAAATACTGATTGTATGTGTCATGTTCCAACATCATGTAGTCCCCACACAACAAAGCTATAATTTTAATTGAAATAACTAAAAAAAGCAACTAACTTGTAAGCCTAAACCCAAATAACATAAGCTGACCTAGGAGTAAGGAAGAGAAGGTAGAAGCTGCAGTATGAGAGGAAATAAATGGCAACCAATTCAACACAAAGAAAATAGATAGCAACTAGGAAATAAACGGCCACCATATGGGTAGAATTTAATATCACATGAAATAAGATCAATGGACTGGTTCATACCACTTATTGGACATAGGTGAACTAGATGCTGCCTGGGCAGTTGCTTTACATATCAATATGTGAAACCTGGCTTTAATCTCTAAGTAAAGGGACAGGGGCACTGGAGGCTGCCTGGGCAGCTGCTTTACCAATAACAGGGGCACAAGCAACAATTATAACATTTTTGGTGGCCTGCACAAGTGTTTTTCAGACAAAATCTTTGAAAATCAGAGTCTGAGCGGAAATTTACCAGAATTCGGTGCGAGTGAAGAAGCCTGAGGGAGTATGGTCGAAAAAACCAATCGCTTCCATAGCTTTCCGTATAGCAGAGACGGGTGGTCGTTTGAGTGGGAAGGTCCCAATTAGGGCAAATCAGAATTTAGAGGAAAAAACCTTAACATCATCTCTAGTGAACGAAACAGCCGGAAAACCCTTAAATCGGTTGGGCGATTTGATCGACATTCCGTTGAAGTCCACATCGGAGAAGAGATGTTGTTGACAGTGCAGTCGTTGCCCGGGGAGGATATCCCTTACCGCCGCTGCGTATGACTGAGCGATTGGAGCAGTCGCCGGTTCGTGTCCCTCCGCCGGCGGCATCGTTGCCGCACAGGCTTCGAGCGTGAGACCGACGCTACCAGAGAGAGAGAGATCACACTCACATACGCCAGGTTGCCTTCTAGGTCTGCAATCGAACAGGCGTGACAAAATTTTGAAGTGGAATTGAGCAGATATTTTTTATGTTTCTTCCGCATGGGTTTTAACCCATCTAGAATAAAGTTTCGGTATTTCTGAAAAGTACCCCGTTTTTTTTCACATTGGTTCAAAAGATAACCGATTTTAGAATATTTCGTAAAATTTTAAAAAGTACCCCGTTTTACTATTTAAAATCGGTTATAACAAAAACCAATGTAAAAAGGTTTTTAAAAATTGTAAAAATGACCCCGTGTCACTATTTCATATGGGTTTGGAAATAACACATGTAGATAAGGCGATGTGAAAAGGCTTTTTTGTACTAGTGTAAAATAGGACTAACTCTTCTTATTCTACCATTTCCTTTGTCCTTCATATTAAGATTTTAAAACAATCCTTATAAAATATAAAAAAAATAAAATAAAAAAATAAAAATCGTAAAAAATAAATAAAAAACATAAAGACCTCAACCACCACCTCACCCACCTTCCAACACCGCCACCTCTGATCGCCGGAAAAGATTGTCAAGTTGGGGAAAAATGTCATCATGATGGCAATTTTGAAGAGAAAGCTAGATATTTTCAAAGAGTAAAAATGCCATCTTCATGACATTTCAGAGAAATGTGTCATTTTTTACACAAGATGACATTTTTTTCCGGCGACCGAAGCTGGTGGTGGTAGGAGGTAGAGGACGCGTTGGCAGTGACCTACATATTTTTAAATATTTTTAGGTAATTTATTTTATTTTTTAGACTTTTTAATTTGTTTTAAATATTTTATTTTTATTTTTTGTTTTTTAATTTTTGATTTATTTTTTCACGTTTTATTATTAATTTATAAATATTTTATTATTTTTTATATTTTTATTAAAAATAAAACTATGATTTTCTTATTAATAAAATAAATCTATTGGAAATTATAGGAAGAAGGTAGAATGAGAAGAAAGGACATATATTAGTCTTATTTTAGAAATAAAGGGATTGTACTCCAATTGTTGACTTTTGGGCTAATTTTAATCATATGAAGGGCTAATACCCGATATAAAAATAAATAAAATTATTCAAACAACATGGACACAAAATCATCTATCCCTAATATGATATTGTGTATTTAGTCATCTTTTAATTTTAAAAAATATTTGAAATAGACTTGCAGACAAAATCGTGTGTCTCGACTAAGTAGATCCCTATGTAGATACATTCGTCACATAAGTGTATCCTTTTTCACTTGTCAGCTACTGAGCGGCTCAGCCATCGCGACTCACAAGCTCATGGAACAAAATGGACTAGTTTATGGACATTAGTACATTACTCATTAGTCATTATGCTTATTTGTTTGAAAGTTACGTAGTAGAAGCCTAAACTAAAAGCTTATAGCGGTTTGAGCGAATCAGGCTTTTTTTTTGTATTTTAGTATGTGCAACCAACCTAAGTATTAATTTTGGACTTCAAAATTGTAATGAATTTTTACAATATTTTAGAATTTAAAGTAATTGTTAGATATGAAGTCGGTATGGTATTATACCGGTATATCGCGATATTTGAAAACATTTACCATTACCGTACCGAAATAAATCAATACGGTATGATAACGTACCGAAAATGACAGTATACCACTGTTATGATATTTTTGTATTTATGGGTACCACAAGTGCAGTACATCCATTTTTTGGAAATTTTGCCCACCCATAGGCACGACTACCGGTAAATTTGAACCCCCGGAAAGAAAGGAAGCGCAGCCGAGAGAAGAGGGGCGCGCCTCTGTCTCTTTCTGTGCCGGACTTCCGGTGTTGTCGTCTTCATCCCTCTACCTCTAAGGACCCAAATTTCTCCGCTTCCTATATCTTCTTTTCGTTTTTAGTCCCCTCTATACCCATACATTCTCATTTTCTGTTTTCATTCCATTTACGTTTCTACCCCCGAGCACCGCATCCCTGCCGTTCGCCCGTTCATCACATTCCAGAAATTTCTTCTACCCTGACTCCCAAGTCCCAACCCTGCAAATACAAGGAAACCCCACCCTTCATTGCAGCTCATCTTCTAACTGATCCAAGCTCTGGTCAGCACTCAGGTAGGTATCCTCTTCCATTCTTATTGCATGTATTTAATTTGTATGCTCACTCTTGTTTTCACAACTCGCTCCTTGTTCTAAATATTAAAACGAAGATATGTTGCATTTCTGAATTTCAATGTTTCAATAGCCTGGTGCAATTGAGCTTGAACGGCTAATAAAAGACATTATTACTTCGTGCATGTTCTTCCGTGAAGCTAAACTAGGGTTTTTGTTTTATTTTAAATTTTGTCTGAGTATACATTACTATGTGCTTTGTTTTTTGTCATATAATTTTTTGGCTCGGTGGCTCAACATGTAGAAAACTCTTATCCTTGGCTGACCTGCCTGATCTTGGAGCATCTTGCATTGTTCAGACTTTTTTACACTCTGCACTGATTCATCCCCTGCTCACACTTAAAGCTGTAATGTTAGTTCAATAGATATATCTATTCATCATGTGATGTACTCTATGGAACTAGGTATGAGTATGGATAAGAACAATGTAGAAATGGAAGCTGCTGAAATGCAATCAAAGAGTGTAGATGACAACAATGACCAAGGTGTGGATAAGAACAAAGTTGATGTAGAGGCTAAACCCAAGGGAGCATATTTGCCTCCCATAGGTGCTGTGGATGAACCAAATTCCGGCGATTCGGAGGAGCAGTATGATGAAGCATCGATAGAGGGAGAAGACAACAAGCATGAAGGTAAATGGGAGCTTAGGGATGAAACAGAGAAGCACAATGGAAATACAAAGATAGAGGATAAATGCAACACAACGAGTGAGGCATATGAGAGCGATGAATCAGAAGAACAAAGCATCACTAAAATTGATTCAAAGGACGGTATCATGGAGGGGAAAGAACTTTCACATGTAATCGTTAATGGAAATGATGGAAAGCTCGCACTCAGTGTGGCCTTGATGAACAATGATGCCATTGATGACAACACAAAGGTAGGAACCCTTAGTGTAACTGCTCAATTGCTTGGTAAACGACTCACAAATGAGGACACAAAAGGAGGAATGCAAGGCATAACATATGAAGGTGAAAATGAAATTATTCAAAATGGAAATGAAATAGTGACTGTTGAAAATAATATTGCTGAGGGTACAGTTTCTTCTGCTGATGTCATTGATGATAAAGAGGCTAGACAGGGTGGAGCTTCAGAAACAAAACAAAAACTTAATCATGTTCCTATAATGTTGCCAGAACCTGTTACTCCACATGTACTGGTGAAATGTACAGCTGCAAAACCTGGACAAATTAGTGGGGAGATGTTCAAGAATAAGTTTGATTATGGAAAGGTATGTTCACATGATCACCTGGGTAAGTTTGGCTATCTTGAATTGTGTCTGGGGGTTGGGGGGTTGGAAGCGTAAATATGTTAGGCGAAAGCTGCATGAATCTTTTCACGATGACTCTCCATTTCTTTTACTTTTAGATGGATTATGATGACAACGATGACGGGACTGCAGAAGATCAAGCATTGTTTATGGGAGAGATAGAAACTTTTTATCGGGAGAGGTCCATGGATTTTAAACCACCTAAGTTTTATGGGCAGCCACTGAATTGTCTAAAGTACTTCTTTGATGGCGCATAATTCACTAATTCTTCATATGTTTTCCATGTGATATTATTATTTATTCTTCTCGTTTGGTTTTTTTTTGGATAATTATTCTTCTCGTTTGGTGATTTAGGTTATGGAAAGCTGTAATAAGGTTGGGTGGCTATGACACGGTAATAATTGTCATCTATAGGGCCCTTCGATAATGCATGCAATAAATCTGGTTGTGTTCTCCCTTAATCCAATAAAATGGGAGATCTTACTAGGAAATGGACTGACACCTTATATATGAATCCTTTGTTCAGCTTTATGATTCTTCATCTAGCATAACATTATAATCTTGCAATGTTTTCTTGAGTGAGTCTTTTATTCTTGGCTTTGTACTGGTTTGAACTTGCTTAGGTTACTGGATCAAAGTTGTGGCGGCAAGTGGGCGAGTCTTTCAACCCTCCCAAGTAAGTATCATTGAGATCTGTAGAGGTCCGACCTCTTAGACCTAGCATAAGGAGTTCAAACAACCCTATGTTCATGCTGATCAGGGATGTATGAAATTGAAATAGGCAATGAAAACTTCTTGCTATTCAATTGTGTAAGTTCCACATTTAGTCATGAAGCTGTAGAGCTTCTTCACGCTCTAGGATGGAAATCTGGAAACCCAACCTAATTCGTGTTTCCATCATAACTTGTAGAAATAACAGATCCAACTCATTGGGGTCAGTTTATTGTCGTGGACCATTTGTAAACCAGATGATAGTCTTATCTTATTACTTAAAAGACTACACATTGGCTATTACAAGTTTCTAGTTTGCTTTGTCGGAGTACATAGTACACCCTATTTTCAGTCAGTACTTTCTTCCAATTACCGAGAGAGCCTAGAATATTTTGATGCTGCAACTTCAAATTCACTGATGTGATATTTACTGTCAAACAGAACCTGCACGACCGTGTCGTGGACATTTCGTATTTTCTATGAGAAGGTAATATGTTCAACTTGACTTGCACCTCGGGATTGTTAGCACTTTTGTTTTCTGCATAGAGAAGAAAGATCAAGGTTTACTTAAAACTTAAAAAGTTGCTTAGGCGGGAGCTTTCACAGGACCAACCTCTACTCCCTATGGGTAGTGGTAAGGTCTGTGTTCATTTCACCATCATCTGGACCTAGTTCTGAGTGCCACTTAATGGGTTTGTTTGGTTTGGCTTAGTTTATCGATGCTATGTTAATCTTCTCATTGTTCTCAAATCTCAACAATAATGTTCTTGACTTTTCATGAATCATATTGATATTTTCTACTTGCGTCTGGTAGCTTTAGGTTAAAAATATGAACATTTGAATTTCACAAACACTTCAAAATTATTTGTCCCACATTTGAATTACTCGTGTTGCTTCTATGTCCTGAAATTCGTGAGAAATAGAATTAGATATTGCATATTGGAACTGGTGCTTGAAGCCATTCATATTTTGCTGCATTAATATTTTTCTGTTCCATTAGTTTCAACTTTCATTACATTGAGTTGTTATATCCTCCTAATTTAGGCACTTCTAGAGTATGAACGGCATAAAACACAAACTGGCGAGCTTCACCTCTCTATGATCTCTCTTCCTGATCCTTCAGGGGTTGACATTGAGGTAATTTAACAGCATTTGTTAGTTGTATTCACACTCCTTTGTTGATGGTTATCTAGATACAGAGCTATGGATTAGGATGAGTTAATGGAAGCTCAATCCAGTTCCACTAATTTAAGATGTTCTCCTAAATCCTGAAGAATATTTGTTTATCTTGTGATTATGACATATCATTATAAATAAAATGTTAAACCACTGTTGTTTTTCACCTGTAAAGTTAGATATATGGAGATTCACCAACAATTGGGCCTTAATACCAAATTTATAAACTAGAGATGTAATTCAAAATGTACTTCGTAGAAGAAAAATAATACTCCGTAATTGACATGATAATATATATATATATATATATATATATATATATATATATATATATATATATGTATGTATGTATGTCTTTACGCCCTTTTAATGTTTTAGACATGCTTCACATTGGTGATATCTTAATGATATTGCTTTAAATAAGCCCAACTGTGCCCTCTTCTGAGCAACTGATCTGCAAATTAATAATCGTCAATATATATTCAGGGAAGTGGTCATCAAGCTCCTGGATCTGGCAGAGCACGAAGGGATGCTGCTGCCCGTGCTATGCAAGGATGGCAAGATCAACGTCTCATTAAATATGGCGAGGTTGGTGAAACACTTATAAAGGTATTGTGATACTCTTTCTACTCATCCTGGATATGTGTCTTTAGATTATCATTACTTTTATCAGTTTTCAATGCTCTGTAATATGTACTAACTTGTACTTTTCTGTGTATAGGACAAGAACCCAAGCAGTACAGCCAAACGTGAAAAGAATCTCAAAACTATAGGTAATCATCTATGTGGTTTATTATTGGTTATAGTATGTTTCTAGTCCCTATATATTCTCAACTCATTTTGTGTTTTTTGGAGCATATGGTTTTTTATGGTTTTTTATGGTTTTGGTTTTTGTAAGATCTTATTTTACTATTTCTGTCCTCTTCATTACAGTAATCCATTAGATGTAACAGACTTGTCATGCTAACAACCCATTCATCTTGCTATGTTAGCAACACATGCCACATTGATTTATATACCACGTCAATGTAGGGACTAAAACAGGTTGGATACATTAGATGTCCTAAACCAAAATTATGTGTTTTTGTACGTGCCAAAAGTGATGCTAGTATAATAGAGGGATCACAACAAAACCGAAGTGTATTAGTAAAGAAAGAATAAAATATAAATCTGGTACACCTATAGACAATGTAGTTAAAAGTGGCACAACTATGTCACACTACTTCAACATGACAAAGTGAAATTGGTAAGTTAAGATGTAAAATGATGAAATTCTTAGAACATGACAATCTTAATGGAACACTCCAAAACATTAGGTCACACAAAATGGAAAGGGCGTTTTTCTATAAAGATTGCCAGTTGGCTTTTCTGCTTTCGTTGTCACCGTACATTCTACGCTTGCATTTGTTATCTGAAATGAAGGTTGGCCTTGATGTAGCCTCAAGTGCCCCTCAATTTCCATGAGGTCATGGGTTCCAATTATGGAAAAACTTCCTTAAGGCAAGTCCATGTAAAATATTCCCAGGCTGCAGGTAATCCAGGGATATCAGATTTTCTGTGCATAGTATATCTGATATGTAAATCAAGAGCTGGGAGGAAAATTGTTGTGTAGCAGAAAAATAAAAATCAACGGGGTAAACCGTTGCCGAGATAATCAACGATAAAAAATACCGTTGCCTAGAACCAAAAGGCTAAAATCAATTTTATTCCAAGATGCTAGAATGAACCCTGGCAAGGGGTATAAATAGCCTTCTAAGAGAAACCCTAATCAAGCCCGAATTAATTAAATCCTAAGTAAGCCCATAATAACTCTACTAAGTACTCTACTAATAATAGGCCCAAAGTAAAACATAACATTAACTTAATAATAATAAATAAACTCTAATGACACTCCTAACCCGGCCACAGATGTGGGCCCAAGCCCGGTCCCGCCCCATGCTTTGCCCGCTCTCTATGAATCCGTCCTCCTTCAAAATAACCTTGTCCTCAAGGTTGAAATCTGGAAACCGGCTCACATTTGTCCCCGGGGGCTGCCCAGTATCTTTAGGAAAAATTGAGATGTACTCCTCCACAGTCCCTGTCTGCTTGCCTCCAGGCAGCCGTTTAAAGCAATTGCCCTTAAACCGTGAGTCAAAATGAGCCACCAATGCCTGTGTAAGCTCATCCCATGACATGACCGGCTTTTGTGCCCGTAACCAGGTCAACCAATATAGGGTTGGCCCTTCCATCGCAACTACAACGGATGACACCTTCTTTCCCGGCGGAGTATAGTTCAATTCGAACTGTTGCTCAGCCCTATCAACCCAGCTGATCAGTTCTTCTCTGTTAAACGAGAGCAACATTGTGAGAATGGTGCTGCACCGTCCAATTCCGAATGAGGATGCTGCTGCCGCGTCAAGTGAAGCCACTGCCGTTGCATGCTCCTCCACCGCTGGCGGCGCAAGAGCCTCTGTAAGCGCAGCCAAGGAGGAAGTGACGTTGCACGGCTGTTTGTCGCTGCTGTGCGCAGATACGGCGGGGCTGCCAACCGCGTCCAGGCTTGTTTCCGTCGTGACAGGAGGAATTAATGCCTTGGTAAGCGCTGCCAGGCATGCAGCTATCTCTTCCAGACGCATGCCGTGCTCCTCTAGGGTTTGATTCATCCGAGTTTGCTTGGCGACCATCTCTGTCAAGCGGTCAATCTGAGATCTCATCATGCTGGCGGGACGGGATCCGGCAGGTCGGACCAATTGTTGTGTAGCAGAAAAATAAAAATCAACGGGGTAAACCGTTGCCTAGATAATCAACGATAAAAAATACCGTTGCCCAGAGCCAAAAGGCTAAAACCAATTTTATTCCAAGATGCTAGAATGAACCCTGGCAAGGGGTATAAATAGCCTTCTAAGAGAAACCCTAACCAAGCCCAAATTAATTAAATCCTAAGTAAGCCCATAATAACTCTACTAAGTACTCTACTAATAATAGGCCCAAAGTAAAACATAACATTAACTTAATAATAATAAATAAACTCTAATGACAGTCCTAACCCGGCCCACAGATGTGGGCCCAAGCCCGGTCCCGCCCCATGCTTTGCCCGCTCTCTATGAATTCGTCCTCCTTCAAAATAACCTTGTCCTCAAGGTTGAAATCTGGAAACCGGCTCACATTTGTCCCCGGGGGCTGCCCAGTATCTTTAGGAAAAATTGAGATGTACTCCTCCACAGTCCCTGTATGCTTGCCTCCAGGCAGCCGTTTAAAGCAATTGCCCTTAAACCGTGAGTCAAAACGAGCCACCAATGCCTGTGTAAGCTCATCCCATGACATGACCGGCTTTTGTGCCCGTAACCAGGACAACCAATATAGGGTTGACCCTTCCATCGCAACTACAACGGCTGACACCTTCTTTCCCGGCAGATTATAGTTCAATTCGAACTGTTGTTCAGCCCTATCAACCCAGCTGATCAGTTCTTCTCCGTTAAATGAGGGCAACATCGTGAGAATGGTGCTGCACCGTCCAATTCCGAATGAGGATGCTGCTGCCGCGTCAAGTGAAGCCACTGCTGTTGCATGCTCCTCCGCCGCTGGCGGTGCAAGAGCCTGTGTAAGCGCAACCAAGGAGGAAGTGACGTTGCACGGCTGTTTGTCGCTGCTGTGCGCAGATACGGTGGGACTGCCAACCGCGTCCAGGCTTGTTTCCGTCGTGACCGGAGGAATTAACGCCTTGGTAAGCGCTGCCAGGGATGCAACTATCTCTTCCAGACGCATGCCGTGCTCCTCTAGGGTTTGATTCATCCGAGTTTGCTTGGCGACCATCTCTGTCAAGCGGTCAATCTGAGGTCTCATCATCCTGGCGGGACGGGATCCGGCAGGTCGGACCAATTGTTGTGTAGCAGAAAAATAAAAATCAACGGGGTAAACCGTTGCCCAGATAATCAATGATAAAAAATACCGTTGCCCAGAGCCAAAAGGCTAAAACCAATTTTATTCCAAGATGCTAGAATGAACCCTGGCAAGGGGTATAAATAGCCTTCTAAGAGAAACCCTAACCAAGCCCAAATTAATTAAATCCTAAGTATGCCCATAATAACTCTACTAAGTACTCTACTAATAATAGGCCCAAAGTAAAACATAACATTAACTTAATAATAATAAATAAACTCTAATGACAGTCCTAACCCGGCCCACAGATGTGGGCCCAAGCCCGGTCCCGCCCCATGCTTTGCCCGCTCTCTATGAATTCGTCCTCCTTCAAAATATCCTTGTCCTCAAGGTTGAAATCTGGAAACCGGCTCACATTTGTCCCCGGGGGCTGCCCAGTATCTTTAGGAAAAATTGAGATGTACTCCTCCACAGTCCCTGTATGCTTGCCTCCAGGCAGCCGTTTAAAGCAATTGCCCTTAAACCGTGAGTCAAAACGAGCCACCAATGCCTGTGTAAGCTCATCCCATGACATGACCGGCTTTTGTGCCCGTAACCAGGACAACCAATATAGGGTTGGCCCTTCCATCGCAACTACAACGGCTGACACCTTCTTTCCCGGCGGATTATAGTTCAATTCGAACTGTTGTTCAGCCCTATCAACCCAGCTGATCAGTTCTTCTCCGTTAAATGAGGGCAACATCGTGAGAATGGTGCTGCACCGTCCAATTCCGAATGAGGATGCTGCTGCCGCGTCAAGTGAAGCCACTGCTGTTGCATGCTCCTCCGCCGCTGGCGGTGCAAGAGCCTGTGTAAGCGCAACCAAGGAGGAAGTGACGTTGCACGGCTGTTTGTCGCTGCTGTGCGCAGATACGGTGGGACTGCCAACCGCGTCCAGGCTTGTTTCCGTCGTGACCGGAGGAATTAACGCCTTGGTAAGCGCTGCCAGGGATGCAACTATCTCTTCCAGACGCATGCCGTGCTCCTCTAGGGTTTGATTCATCCGAGTTTGCTTGGCGACCATCTCTGTCAAGCGGTCAATCTGAGATCTCATCATCCTGGCGGGACGGGATCCGGCAGGTCGGACCAATTGTTGTGTAGCAGAAAAATAAAAATCAACGGGGTAAACCGTTGCCCAGATAATCAATGATAAAAAATACCGTTGCCCAGAGCCAAAAGGCTAAAACCAATTTTATTCCAAGATGCTAGAATGAACCCTGGCATGGGGTATAAATAGCCTTCTAAGAGAAACCCTAATCAAGCCCAAATTAATTAAATCCTAAGTAAGCCCATAATAACTCTACTAAGTACTCTACTAATAATAGGCCCAAAGTAAAACATAACATTAACTTAATAATAATAAATAAACTCTAATGACAGTCCTAACCCGGCCCACAGATGTGGGCCCAAGCCCGGTCCCGCCCCATGCTTTGCCCGCTCTCTATCTAAAATCAAAAGGCAGGTAGCCTGAGAGAATAAAGTCTAATGGCTCTCTGTGTTTCGATTGTATTTTCTATTTTATATTTCATAACCAAACTATGTATCCAACTATCCAAGGATTTATGAATAAGTGTAATTGCCAAATGAGAATATTGTTTCATCACTCTCTGTGTTTCTATTATTTGTTCCGTTTTAGGTTTTATTCCCCCCTCCCGCTATCTTTGTCCCATTTTTTGTTTTTTCGTTTGTCCCATTAGGCCATTAAGTTTATCCACATCAAACATGGTGAATTTTTTGTGATTCTTAATCATTCTTACTTTATTCTTACTTTTTCAATTCGACACCAACCACACAAACTCAATTTTCTTTATAACTGCACCACCTCCTCACGTCCCAATTTTAATGGGACGGATGTACTAACAAAAAAATGTAAACAAGGATTCATGAATTAGTGTAGTTTCCAAATGGGCATTTTTACCCTCATGTATATTTTGAATATGATCTTTTGGTACACATGCAGGTTCGCTCAAACAAAAGAGACCCAATGAAGTTGAACTCTCTATGAAAGCAGCACGAACTGAGATATCTAGGCAGTTAAGTTCATAGTATCTTGAACTGTTTTATTTCTTTATCATTGGCAACGTTTTATGTATGCACTGCGATAATTGTGCCTAAGATCAAGCAATCAAGTCTGCTGTCATCTCATACATTATGGGACCTCTTAATCATTGTAGGCAACACTGTACAGGCGTACAGCTACTTCCTGCCCATCTTATTCTTATTATTTGATCATTGCCATCAATTTGTTTGGTCTAAGTCAGTGTAGTAAAAAACGTGCGCCTGAGTGCTTAAGCGCACCAGGCGAGGTGCATATGAGGTTCAGCGCCTGTTAGAGTTCCAGGCGCAATCACCCGAGTGAGGCGCAATAAGCGCAGAAGTGCTGAAGCGCTGAAAAGCGCACACTTAAGTCGCCTGGCCTGGGAAAGGCTTATCAGCCTATTTATTTGTTTGATCCTACTTTAAATAATAAGTCCATACTTATAATAAGATTTAGCCCATTCAAGTAGTTGGTCACCACAACTTAAAAAGTTAAAAGCATGTAAAACCCTTCTAAGTCACGGTAAAAGCCTTCTATAGCGTGACTTCATCGTTACTCTCATATTCTCTACTCACGCAACCCGTTCAGCGCTGAAATAGCATTCAACAATCAACCCACAGAAGCCAGCAAGTCAGCAACCCATAAGGGGTCTTCTTCTTCATCATATTCCCATGTTCTTTCTTCTTTCTTTTTCAGATTGTAGTCTTCATTTATTTTGTCATCTTCTTGATGATCCTTTCTTTTTATTCTTTCAGTCTATCTTCTTCCTGTACTTTTATAGTTCTCTTTGCTTCTTATATATTCTATAAAGCTCAAACATATTACATGTATCTGACTATGCATGCTTTATAGTTCTCTTTGCATACTCTATAGTTCTCTTTGCTTCTTATATATTCTATACTCTGTAGTTCTGTTTGCTTCTTATATATTCTTATTCTATACTTTATAGTTCTCTTTTCTTCTTATATATTCTATACTTTATAGTTCTCTTTGCTTCATATATATTCTATACTTTATGTTCTCTTTGCTTCATCTTATATAGTCTATAACTCTATATCTTCTTACTATCGTTTCATATTTTAATTGTATAAAACTTCATATAATCTAACTTAGTTAATAGTTTCATACACTACACAATTTATGCTACCCCTAGTCCTCAAACTGCAAAATCAGCTAAAACTGACCCTACTCGGTGTTTTGTTTTTGTGAACCATGTCTTTATTTTTGTGGATTGTGACTTTGCTTTTGAGAAACATGATTTATTAATGCATTTAGTTCAATATGATGTTGAATATGTCATATTTGATCACTCTAGAATAGTATACATAATATTTTCTAAATAGTGCGGTTGACATGAGTCAGTCGAGCGCGTTTTTGCACCTTGCACCTCAGGCGATATAAATACTATAGCGCCTTGAATGTGCCTCACGACTTTGGCTACCTTGGTCTAAGTTTGACTGATGTGAAAAGCTGATAAAGTGAAAAGATACTCGTGCTAATTAGTCAAGGTCCCTTACTATTTGAGGCAATCTTTTTATTAAAGCGAAAAGTGCACAAAAGCAATGAGGTGGGGCATTGCTTAAAAGCGAAAGCGCCAATCAAAGTGCAGCTTTACAAAAAATAGACACTTGCAGAAAAAAGAAAATGAAATATTTATAACACAAAGTTACAACAAAATATGTGAATAGTTATCAAGTCATCATTTTATTAAGCACAAATAATCATCACTCATCACCTTCAATGTCAAAATGAGCATCTTCTCTCATCCCGATTTAAAGCATCAACATCTTCACTATGATAATTATAGAATCCATCATCTTCTTTTCATTCTCATCAAGTCCATGAGTAAAATCTTTTTGATTTTCCCTTAACTTGTGGCTCTTAGATTGTGATTCAGACATTCTTTGTACATACACAATTAATTAATACCGCAAGAAACATTCTAAATAATAAATAGAAAATAAGAGCGACAAACTAACAAACTCTTCTTCAAAGAAGAAATAAAAACTTACAAATCATACAGAGCAGTTTAACCGATGAAAAGAAGCCACCAACAGCCAATGAAAATGAAATAAATGGAGAACGAGTGAGAAATAAAATCCTTTTTAAAAAATGGTAGGTGTTAATTGTTAAAAGATGTTAAGCTAGAGTAGACTAGGCAAGCTAATGGTTAAATTAGGACATAACCCTGATAATTCCCAAAATGCTGGCAAAGTTATTATTGCCTCATCTTATTTTCAGTATATGGACCATAATTAATCTCAGGAACTTGTTTAATGTGCCCACACACATTGGTGTGCCACATCATTAGAAGAAGAAAATAAAATAAAATCCAAACCGTTAAGTTTACAAGTTTAAAACTTATCAATTTGATTTGGAGTATTATATTCGTAAAAATAGAACACAAAATGGAAGGAGAAAAGAAGAAGAAGGTAGTGTTGTGCTTGTTGTCAGTGTGCAAATACAGAACAAAGGAAACAAAAACAGAGTAGAAAAGCATAAAAAAGAAGCAGAACAGTCCTAATGAAGGAGGAAGATGCAATTTAGGGTTATTTTACCTGTAGCTGAGCAAAAAGGATAAGCAATAAAGAGTATTACCGATGAAAGAGGTCTGAATCGTCTGATGTTTAGGTTCATAATGAAAAGAGTTGCGCAACCCAAGTTAAGAAAACAAATGTAAACTTGCTGATCAGTCACCAGTGCGCTTTTCGTGAGAAGCCTTATTCAAGTGTTGGTTTTGTGCTTAAGCAATTTAACCAAAAGCGATGGAAATGTGTTGATTTTTGCCCATCTGTGTTGTCTAAAAGCAACTCCCACATTCGTCGCTCGCTTGTGCTTCGATGCTTAAACATGCTTTTGTGCAGTTTTAACAAGTTCGATTTGAGGTCCGTTGTTTGACATAATGAATGATTTGATCATGTTAAGCAAAAAGGATGCCACTACTATTGTCTATTTCCACAATGCATACTGGAATCTTGGGGATTGACTCAACTAGTGATTTGTCTTGTAAATAACTATTCGATTGCCAAATAATTATAATAATCCCACCTTCATTGTTGTGTTTTTAACAATCCAGGTTGACAACTACAGTTGTTGATGTTGGACCACCTGCTGACTGGGTGAAAATCAACATTCGGGAAACAGTAAGTGTTTTTCATTGTAGAAAGTTAACACCTCCGTCCCAAAAAACCTTGCCATTTTATAAAATTTGAACCTTGATTTTGATTAGTATAATATTATGGAAGTTATAAATTTATACTTTTATGAAAGTACTTTTAACAAAGAACATTTTCATATAATTTTTATATCATAAATAATTTTCTATAAAGAGATATAATTGGCCAATGTTTTGAAAATGACAGTTTTTTGGGATAGAGTTAGTATATAGTCTCTCTCTCTCAAGGAAGGTCTCACTAAAGTTCTCATCTTAAACAGAAAGACTGTTTCGAGGTCTATGCCCTAGTTCCAGGACTTCTGCGTGAAGAGGTTTGTGCTTGTCAGTGCACTCTCTTTATTACCTATTCCCTCCTTCCCTTAAAACTTTGCCATGATTGATTGGGATGGAGAATAATAAGATAAAAACTATGTGGTTGAGGTTTGTTCAGAGGAGAGAGAAATAACAAGAAACACAAATTAATCGATTAAAAGAGAGTGACAAATTTTTTGGGACAACCCAAATTGGAACAATGACAAAGTTTTAAGGGATGGAGGGAGTATTTATTATGTATTTGCATCACTTAATGTTCATTTAGGTATCTACTCATGTTGATTTACACCTTCATTCAGGACATAACCAATTGATTCTTTAGAGGGATAAGGAACAAACCAAACCTTCCATCATATGTGAAGGAAAACTTCCTTTTTGGTTTTGAAATACCCCCTTATCTGATATGAAATACCCTCTCTTAACCAGACACGTTACTCCATTAGTGAACACTAGCATTCCCTTTCTTGTTTATCTTTCCTCTCTTTTCCCCATCATCTACACATTTCTCGTAGTCATTATTCTTGTTTTCTTTTTCCCATATATCTTCCCTCGCCAGAAATCAAAGTCAATTTAAGTTTTCTTTCAGTCCATCTTCATTACCCATGATAAAAATGGCTGATAAGTCAAGGTTAGCTACCAAGTCAGGCTTTGAAGGAAAGTTAGGCCCATATATGTAGTTGCTAGCAAGGTTGTTAGGATCGTGATCTAACTCACAAGATCGTACCAGTTTACGATCAGAAAAGAGAGGTTCGTGCTGGATCGCAGCTAAGATCGGGAAAAGCCTTAACCAAGCTGTGAGTTCTCAGTACAAAAAAACGTGAAACCCAAAGAGCGCAATTGAAGTCTAGAATGACAAATTCTGAAAATAAATTAAACACCGCGACTTACGATGAACAAAACCCAAGCGTCACTTGCTATTACACTAATCTTCCTTGTTTTGTCCGCTTTAAATCTCCCTTCCTCTTCATTTTCTTCATTCATCTTTGTTCTCTGTGTCATTCCTTTGTCCGCTTCATGACCTATTAGGAGCGTTGTTGGCTGGGAGCATGGTATATCCATGAGTGAAGATAACAGAACAATTAAGTGCAAACATTGTGAGAAAACTTCAGTGGAGGCGTCTATCGTTTGAAGCATCATTTAGCTGGAACAAATATAGATGTGCCACCATGTAACGAAACATATCACTAATCATTATCTCCTTACCATCTAGAGTAATTCCACTATTACTACCGCTTCTACCTCCACACAACTTGCACTCCATGTACTATGTCTTGTTTCGACTCAGTCTGACACCCTTGTTCTCCAATGTTTGTCGTCATACTTCCAACTTTGTTTTAACACTTGATTGATGAGACACACTCAGGAGTTAAAGCAAAGTTTGAAGTATGGCGACAAACATTGTAGAGAAAGGATTTCAGACTGTGGCGAAGCAAGAATGAGTACATGGACTGCAAGTTTGGTTTAGGTAAAAGCAGTAGTAATAGTGGAATTACTCTAGATGGTAAGGAAATACTGGTTAGTGATATGCTCCGTTACTTGAGCTCCATAATTCAAAAGGACAATTAATTAGATGGAGATGTATCTCATGGAATCAGAACAGAGTGGATGAAATGGACGAGTGCGTCGGGATTTTTATGCGATCGAGGTTATCAGACTAAAATGGAGGGTAAATTTTATATTACAACAATTAGGCCTGCATTAGTGATTGTCGTGTATTGGGGTGGAGGGTGAAATAATGTCACATTCAAAAGACGAGTGTTGCATAGATGCGCATGCTGCGTTGGATGTGCGGACATACTAGAAAAGACCGTTTGAGGAATGAAACAATCAAACAAAAGATGAGAGTAACACCTATTGGGAGGCTTGCTTGCGGTGGTTTGGTCATGTGCGTGGAAGATCGAGTGATGCACACATCAGACGAGTTGAGATGTGTGGAAAAGAAGCAAGAAAGAGAGGGAGAGGAAGACCCAAATAGACGTTGATTAGAGGAGACAGAAGTGATATGCTTCTTCTTGGGTTGGATGAGAGTCTGGCTTTGGAGAGCAAAGTGGAGGGCATGTATTCATGTGGAGGAGTGATCTCTTATAATCTTTTCCCCCATCTTCTTTTTTATTTTTTATTTTTTTGTTCTATCACTTTTATGCATATCATCTCTTTTTGTATTATCTTTTGTTATCATAACTTATCTTTTTATCTTTCTTATCTTTCTTTTCCTTCTTTTCCTTTTGGTTGCAATATCATGTATCAATTCATGCTAGTCGACCCCAAAATCTTTTGAGTAAAGCTTGAATGTTGTTATTGTTGTTGTATTAATTCAGTGTTTACGTAGAATTGAATTATATATATATTTATGTAGGGAGCGGTTCTGGTGAGAAAGGACTCACATGATAGAAATGAGAATGAATGTGCACCGTTAGATTGCATTATGTGAAACTGAATTGTGTATTTGGTGAAACTAAAATGTGCATTAGGTGAAATTGAAATGCAGAATAAAAAGTAAAACTCAAATGTGGATTAAGTGAAATTGAAATGCGCATAATAAAAGGTATAAAAAATTAAAAATGCCATTGCATCTGTACCTTTTATTTTGCACATTTCAGTTTCAGCTTCACATGTTTCATCTAATGCTACTGTGTTGTACCCTTTGTGATGCACATTTCAGTTTCACGTAATGCAAATTTTAGATAAAATATATATTGCATGGGAGGATCTTACGATCCGAGTTACGATCTCCTAGATCCCTTCTTATCTGTGCTAGGATCTTGAGTTTAGCAAACTTGGTTGCAAGGTACATAAGCTTTTGGCTTCCACTAGAAGCTGCTAGATTTGAGGATGAGCGTCGACGACGCATATGAGTAGGTGTTAGCACTTCCTTTCCTAATCAGGGCCATCATCCACAATATCTCTGTTAGGCATTGATGGTATCTACACACATCACACATGTTATTTCTGTTTACTTTGACATAATGGCACTTTCGCTGGTCACCATCGGATAGGAATTCCTCATTTGTTTGATACTCTGATGCAATTTCTGTTATGGAGAGGTTTTCTTTTTGAAATTTCCGGCTGCTCTAGTCGGTTAATAAACTAAGGTGCTCACAAGATACTACTACCTCTGTTCTTAAATAGTTGCAACATTAGAAATTTTACACTTTTCATGTGCTTTACTGTGACTACATTTTATTTACTAATACATTAAAAATTTAATTTTTTAAAAAATATTATAAGATTCTTCTCATTATAGTATTATTATGTGATTTTTTAAATTTTTTTACAAATAGAGAATTAAATATATTGATAATCAAAGTTGCGTGTTGCCAAACGTGAAATTGAAAGCCTTGCAACTAAAAAAGAATGGAGGAAGTATATGATTGTAGAGGCAACGATTTATTTGAGGAGTTATTTCTATTGTTGATGTTGGGTGGGAGGCGGAAAATAATCTGATTATTTGGCAGGGGTGTACGGTGGTGGTGTAAGTGGGTGGTGGAGAGGTAATGTTAGCTTTTGGATGTCAATTTTAACAGAAGGGCATTATTAGACCTAGAAGTTGGCTTTGACAGATTTTTGGACCCAAAAGAGTGTAAGAGTACACGTGTTCCTCAGTTTATGGTGGAATGGTATATTTCTCCATTATATTTATGTAAGACTAGAAGATGTATAAATTTGTGATTTTTATTCTCTGGTGACACAATATCTACTATGTACATCACTTTTATACTCTTGTGTATTTATGGAAAAAATGCAATTATTTCATTATGGGTCATGAGGTGATCACAGAGTAGTTACTTATCTATGTTGAATGTTGTCCCAGGTGCGGGTTCAATCTGATCCAGCTGGACGTTTGGTCATAACGGGTCAGCCTGAGCAGCTCGACAATCCCTGGGGAATTACAGCTTTCAAGAAGGTGCACCATCTATTTCCTCCTACCTGTCAAGAGTCAATGGTTTGTTTTCACCAGTGTTAAGGACCTGTTTGAGTCCTTGACCAAGGTTTTCTATGGAGAGTATTGACCTCCCACAATGCACAGGGGACATCCTATGTTGCACCGTAAGATGTTAAGGAATTTGATGGGACTCGATCAACACAGGGCCTCAACGGGGGGGGGGGGGGGGGGGTTGTTCTCCATAGAAACTTTCTTGTTTACTCACCACATTTTTTAGTGTATTGTTGGTCTTTCCGGAGCTAGAGTTTTCTTGGACAATATATAATGCCTCATTTTTTATTTTATGGTGTAATTCTCTAAATAGGAGTAAGTAAAAGCTGAATTGCAGTAATAAGAGTCATCATCATCATTACCCCAGTGCCGCAAAGGCTCCCACCTACGGTGGGGTAAGGGGGGGTCGGATGTACACAGTCTTACCTTGTATTAAAGCACAGAGAGACTATTTCCGAATGACCCGTAGTGAAAATCGCGTCGAAAATTGCATAAGCTGACCGTTACTTCATAACAAAGAAGCGCAAACAGTTTAGTGAGTCATTTTGCTTTATTCCATCATATTTCCAAGCCAAAAAAATAGTGAGTCTTTGGCTCCTTTGAAAATGATGGAAATGCAGTAATAAGAGTATAAGTTTTAAATTCCCTTGCCGCCATAGTACCACGGTACCACCACCTCCGACCGCCGAAAAAAATGTCAACTTGAAAAAATAATGTCATCTTGAAGGTAGTTTCAGAGTAAAATTTTACATTTTTAAAGAGTAATAATGTCAGCCTCATTACACTTTCAGAGTTTCAGAGAAAAGTGACACGAGATTGCATTTTTTCTGGCAGTCGGAGGTGGCGTTGCTGGAAGGCGGTAGAGGCCTGCATAATTTTTATTTATTTAGTTTTTATTTTTTAAAGTTTTTTGATTCTCTACTTATTTTACTACCTCCGTCCCAGTAGACTTCGCCAAGTGCAAAGTAGGTGAGCAATAAGAATAGTTGAAACTGTGTGGTTGAGATTTGTGCAGGGAAGAGAGAAATGTGCAGAACCACAAATTAGTTGTTTTAATAGGAAAATGACAAAGTTTTTTGGGACAATCAAAAAGGAAAAGTTGGCAAAGTCCAACGGGATGGAGGGAGTATTATTTAGCTTTTCATTATATAAAAAATATATTTGTATTAATTTTATGTTTTAATTTCAAGTAAAAGTATGATTTTCTTATTTGTAAGGGTAGAATAGGAAGAGAGAGTATTAATTACTCTTATTTTGGCAATATAAAAGTTAAAACTATAGTCCTATTTTTTCATGTTGGGATTAGTCTATAGTCTACTCGAATTTGGGCAAAATGGAGATTTGCAATATAATGCCTTGGTAAATGTTTGTTCTTTAGAGAGAATTTTTGAGGGATTTTCTATTCTTTATGTTTGGCAGGTAGTGAGCTTACCTGCGAGAATAGATCCTCTTCAGACTTCAGCTGTTGTAAGCCTGCATGGACGGCTGTTTGTACGGGTCCCATTTGAGCAGCCAAACATCTGAACTGAACCTATAATGTATCCTGTGGGGTTCTGATCAAATGAGCAAGTTCAGGGATGTGATGTGAACAATTCTCCAAGGAACAAATGCAGACCTTGTGGACAGAGATTAGGATTTGTTATAATGCCCGTAGTGTAGGGGGTGGGGTGTAGATATAAGAGTATGAAGAATGGTAACATTAAGCAATGGCAACCCGGAAAACTCTTTAAACTTCTACTACTGCCATTTAGTGGTTCATGATTAGGAGTTTTGTTGAGTTGATGGGGCAATGATGGAAATTAGTGGGAGTTTGCTCATTTGTTTGCACAATAATGTAGCTATTCATGGCTGGATGGACGCTGCTTGCTTTGCTACAGCTGCTCTGCCTGTGCATAGCAGCATGTTAGTTAATATGACAAAGTTGTTAGATATTCTTGACACTGTTTTTAACGTAATCAGTCTCGCTTAGGCCCGGGACTGGTTTTCCGGTACCGGTGCCTGACCGGACCAGCTGCCTGGCAGTCTCGGGTTGCATAGTTTGGGATAGGGATGGACTCGGGTCCGGGCCGGGTCCGGGTCGGGCCTAGGCCCGGGCGGGCCAGCGGTTCAGAAATGGTGGACTCGGGACCGGCCCGGGTAACCACCGGGTCCGGTCCGGGTCCGGTCCGGGCCCATTATCATTTTTTTTTGTTTTCCTCTTCCTAATTAACCCCCCTCCCACCCCCAACCCCCCAAACCACACCAAATGGCCCAAAATACCCAGCCCAACCCGAAAATTTAAAAAAAATTGAAAAAAAAAAGGTTTTGGCCTGAACCGGGCCCGGCCGGGTCGGGTCTTGTTTTGGGTGACCCGAGCCCGGACCGGAAAACCCACGGGCCGGGCCTACCCGGACCGGTCACTGACCGGGCCACCGGGTCGGGCCGGGCCGGGCCGGAAAAGTACTGGTCCCGGGCCGGTTTCGGGTCGGGCCACCCGGCCCGAGTCCATCCCTAGTTTGGGACCGCACTGGCTGGTCCAAGGCCCGGTTGTAGTCCCAATGGTAATATTTTTTTAATTTTTTTTGATAGAGGGTGGGGTTGGGGTGGTATAATGTCGTTGGCAATGGCCATTAATGGCTATATGACTATTTTGCTATGTTTAAAAAATCGACTTGATCCGGCCGGGTGGACCCGGAACCCAGCGACCTGGACAAAAACCCGGGTCGGTTAGTTCAAAACCCGGAAAAACCTGGTTGACCTGGGAAAACCCGGTTTGGACCCAAACCTAAAAAACCCAGGAAAACTCGGTTTTGGGTAGGGATTGATCATGGCCGGGTCAACTGGTACTATTTGGAACCGGCCCAACCCGGTTGCTTGGGCCTGGGCCTAGGACTTGAATCGGGGGGGGGGGGGGGGGGGGGGTTTGGCCCCGGTCACGTGGGTCTTTGGTACCGGCCTGGTTAAGGCCATTTTTTTCAAAATCTTTGGGAGGTAAATGGGTTAGGCTGGGTGTTTTGGAGGGGTTTGGGCATTAGTGGTTGTACGCATTATGGTAGTTGTGTGAGCCTTATTTACATATGCCACCCACTTTCTCTAAGTGTAGGAGGCTATGTAATTGTGTTGCCCTTGTGTTGCTTACCTTACTGTCTCATGTGCATTGGCCATGTGTGGTTACCATACTGCTTGGTCTGATAATGTTATTTCTGGTTGCCTTATTTACATTTGCCACTCACTTTGACTGAGTGTAGGAGGCTATGTATATGTAATTCTAATGTAAGCCTCTCAGTAATCCTAATTCCTTTGATTTTGTTCGACCACTCTCAGATTTGCTTCTTGAAAGAGCCTTTTCAAATGTTTGAGTGAGCGAACTTTGTGTAAAGATTAAATTGTATTTAGATTTTGATGATGCTAAGTTAATTAGAATATTAGAGTACGTCTCCTTAGTAAATTTGTATTAGATTGTTTTTGTAAGTAATAGTATAGTCGCCTGGCCAGAAACTCTCTTGGATCTCTGTCTTGACCAGAGTTGCTACCAGAGCTGGTCACCAGAGTTGGTACCAGAGCCGCCTGAGCCGGTCACCAGAGTTGATACCAGAAAACCCATTCAGAGTTGCTCACAGTTAGAAACTTTCGAAGACGTTTCAAATAGTCGTTAAAACTAACGGGAAATTTCGGAACGGCTAGGAGCCTCTCAACGGAAGACGCTACTGTTCATGCATTAAATGCTCATTTAATGAGCTTCACACGTCGGAATATTTAAAGCTGATGATTGATCAGGCGAAGATTTTCTCGCCCCCAAAATAACAAGTCGGCTAGTTTTTGAAAACCAACCGGTCAAATCAATAGTACAAGCATTTAATGAAGATGTCCTGTACACTCCAACGGGAAGGCATCTTTCATTATATATGATAGAGTTAATTATCAAAACAGGACTAAAAGTCATTCACTTTTCACAAATAGGACAAAAAAATAAACTATGTTTTCATAGGATTAATTATGTGTACCTTGGACAATTATACCCTTATAGTTATTAAAATGTTTTAATTCCTAATAAAATAATAAAAATTCGTAAAAATACTAAAAAATTAAGAAAAACATTTCGATATTCAAAATTTAATTAATTTTTTTTCAAAATATTAAAAAAATTAAAAAAAATAAAAACTCAAAAAAAAAATCGTCGCCGCCTCTGCCGCCTCAGCACCACCACCTCGAGTCACCAGGGGGAAAAATGCCAAGTTCATTACGAATGTCATATTTAAGGCAGAAAAAATGAAAATGTTGACATTCGAAAAGAGAAATATGCCACTTTTTTGGCATTTTCATAAAAAAATGGCATTTTTCTGGGAAAATGACATTTTTTTCATCGGCCGGAGGTGGTGGTGCTGGGAGGTAGTACAGGCGGTGGGAAAGGCATCCATATTTTTTTAAATTTTTTTTACGGAGTTTTACTATTTTTTATTAATTTTTTTAAAAATAAAATTATTTAAAAAAAATGTTTTTGAATTTTTTATTTTATAAAAATTTTATAAATTTTTTAATTATATTTCTACGAATTTTTGAATTTTTTTCGAATTTATTATGAATTAAACATTTAATTATGGCTTTTGACTATTTTTAATTCATATTTAATGGAAGGGTAAGAATGGAATGCAAAAATAGGTATGTTTCCAATAGGACTCATATGGTCCTATTTTGAAATAAAAACATAGCAAGTCCTATTTTAGATTTTTGCCATAGTTTTAGTCCTATTTGAACTAATTTCTATATATGATACACTTCGAAGAATTGCAAGGAGAACATTTCTCTCACAAGCGAAAACATTCAAACTCTTGAGACTTCATATCTTACGTTAGAAAAGATTATACTCTTCATATCTTAACCTTCCAACGAAAGAGAATCGTTCCTCCAGTTCTTCAACACTTCTAAAGCCTCATCTACACATCCTTTGTGACGAAGCTACGTTGGAGAAACCGTTTTTGTTCTAAACACTTCTTACAAAAGAAGGGACGTCTCAAAGTAACTGGAGTAGTGAAGTGGAGATACTTCAATGAGACTTCGTGAAAAGAGACCAGACATCAGGAAGCTAAGAAAAGCATCCCGGGTGACAACTAGACTTGAAGAAGACAATGAGTGCTTCTTAAGTGCTAGGACTAAGGCTGTGTAATCTGATCCTTTACAAGCTTAGTAGAACAGTGGACTAGAGGAACACGTTGTTCCTCGAACCACTATAATAATCCCTGGTGTCATTTACTTTACGCACTTTACATTTCTGCTTTTAGATTCTAACTGATTAACTCTCAAATGCTTGTACTTTGTGTTCAACAGATCTTGTATTAAGAGTTAACAGAAAGGAATTTGCCTTAGTGTGTTTCGAAGGCTACCCGACCAGAACCTATCCGCTGCCAAGTCTAGTTCTGTCACGAGAACTCGACCTTCTCTGTCAAGTCTTTTAAGACTTAGAGATTTTTATTTTTGAAAACCAGAACAGTCTATTCACCCCCTCTCTAAACTGTTCCTTGTGTAAACGAGACCAACACTTTGAGGGGCTACCTTAAAAATGTTACTACATCCGTCCCGCTATGATTGTCACGTTTTACCTTATCGGTCCGTCCCACTAAGATTGTCCCATACCAAATTTGGCAAAGTTTGTGAGGCTCTAAATCATTCTTACTTTGTTCTTACTTTATCAATTCAATATCAACCACATATTATTAAAAGGAAAAAAAATCAAATCTAAGATATTTGAATGGCAGTAAAAGGAAAAAAAATCAAATCTGCTATGCGAGGTGAGGCGGTAAAATATTATTAAAACCCTTCACTTGCAAGCTTTAAATTAAGAAATTCAGCTAAACCAAACATTTAAATCATGGATCTTGTTAGCCTCGAGAGCACATCCATACTATACAAGGCGTCTTGAATACCATTCACACGTAGTACATCCATAAACAAACATAATGCAAAATATTCATTTAAAGCAGCGGAAACATAATACAAATGTTCAAGCCACACTTGGCAAACTTAGGCATACAAGCCCCCAAATAATTATCCAGAAAATAGTATCCATGAGCATTAATGTAATTGTTTTTAAAACAGAAACGAAGGAAGCACGAACCACGCCTTCTCTCCTAGATCTTCCCGAAGCAACAAGCACTAGTAACAAGCTCAACTTCTACCTGAAACTGTGAGGTGGCCTCCCCCGTGAAGGGGAGGTCAGTACTTTGAAGCATTTGAAAAGTACAATGACAACTACACTAAATATAATCAATGTTTCAATTTCTAAGACCCTCAAATAGAGTGATAATCATAATATATATGATAATTCATATCTGCCCCTTATTATCTTTATCATAAGTTAATTCATTAATTTGTCGTCACACGGACCCCTTTTTATATTCCATTTCATTCATCGCTCACGTGACACAACCCATAGGTCTATTTGTTTCTACGGGACTTGCCACCGCTGTCCGAGGTCTCATAAGGTCATCAGTTCGGATTCCAACATCCCACCCCTAGATTCATGCCCATCATCCCGTAGGAAGGTAAGGCCCTTCGGGGTCCTATCTTATGTGTTACCACTGTCGGAGTCTAATTAGGTCTCCGATTCGGATTCCACCCTACACGTGATCACGCTGCAAGTTCATGTTATCCAACCACGCTCTCTAGAGTCGAGAAGGGCCATGGTCCTTGCTTATTTCCATAATTCGACCGGCTATCCTCAAATACTACCGAACACACTCGTAGGCCAATCCTATATCTAGGAGCAATTCAGTGTTCACTTTATCTTGGGTATCCCTTAAGGCCTACCCCAGTATAGCTTAGAGTTCATGCTTATCCACCTTAAAGTATCTCTTAAGACTACTTAAGGTATAACAATTCACAATCCAACCTTAGGATCAATTCTAGCATAACCACTTATCCAATCCCCCGACTAGTATCTTAATACTAGTCGGATAAAATCTATCAAACCAAGTTCTTAATTCATAATCATATAGACAATTCCAAACTGATTTTCCATCGAAAATATCATTTATCTCAGTATAC